TCATGATACCAGCTTGTTCACCAGACACTGCTCTCGTGGGACTATTGTTGTCCTTGTCTATGTTGATGATATTGTTCTCACTGGCAGCTCTTCTACTCTCATCTCAGAAGTTACTCAGGCCATGCACCGTGACTTCAAGCTCAAAGAACTTGGACCTCTTCATTACTTCCTTGGCATTGAGGTTCAGCGCACGCAAGATTCTATACTTCTCCATCAATCCAAATATGCCCGTGATCTTCTACGCCGAGCTGGGATGTCCGACTGTCATCCGGCTATTACTCCTATGGCTACGAGACCTATCACTAAGCCTTCGTTGCCTTTCAAGGATATTTCTCATTTTCGGAGCATTGTTGGCGGTTTACATTACTTGGCTGTCACTCGTCCAGACATTCAGTATGCTGTTAATCGAGTGTCTCAGACTATGCACAACCCCACTGAGCAGGACTATCATGCCTTGCAACGCGTTCTGCGCTATCTCAAAGGCACTTTGAATCATGGTCTTCTTTTTCGCAAGGGGGGATTCGACCTATCTGTCTACTCTGACTCTGACTGGGCCAATGATAAAGATGATCGCAAGTCTACCACGGGCTACATACTCCTACTCGGTCCTAATATCATCTCTTGGTGCACGAAAAAGCAGACTCGTGTTTCTAGATCATCCACTGAAGCTGAATATCGAGCTATGGCTGCAGGGGTTGCAGAAGCTATGTGGCTTCGATATATCACTGATGCACTGGGTATTCCTCCGTCCAAACCGAAGTTATACTGTGACAATGAGTCGACTATCTGTGTCACCAAAAATCCGGTTCTTCATGATCGCATGAAGCATGTGGGCACAGACTGTCACTTTGGACGAGATGAGGTTATGGCAGGCACTATGACTCCACATCATGTTTCCTCCTCAGAGCAGCTAGCAGACATTCTTACCAAACCGCTTCCGCCAGTTCCTTTTGAGTACTTATGTTCCAAGCTGCCCCTCGTCTCCGTTGATCAGCTTGCGGGGGGATATTAGGAAGTATAATTAAATTAGGATACTTCTTTCCTATTAAATTAGGATACTTCTTTCCTTTCCTACTAGGATTATTCTTTCCTTTCCTACTTGTACTTTGATTACTCTTGTATTCCCTATATATAGGGCAATATCTCTCAATATTCAATAAGACAAGTTATTATCAAATTGTATCACGCCGCAAACATTTGACCGTCAAATTTTTATTAAATTTGTAGCGACGAAATCTCCGACGGGTTGACGTTCGTGGCCAATATTTAATAAAACCTTATTCGAGATCACACGTTGTTTCAGTCTTTTCTCTCCTCCACCCACCAGCGGAATAAGAGGACGACGAAGAACAAGACCGTCGTCACCCCCTCCAACGTCTGCCCATCCAGCACCGGCCGCCGTAGTCTGCTCTTCGACCTCTGCCGTTCGGCATCTCCCACTCTCCCAGCCTTGTGATTTCAAGGTGAATCCTAAGTTTTTTTTCTCTTAAAATAAGTGTATAATTAAGCTTGAAATTTTTTTCTTGTGTTTCCATGATTATGAAGATTTGATTAAGGTCAGGGAAGAGTTTAAAGATTATGATGATGAAGGTGAGTTCTTTGTTAGAGCATCAGCAGCAGCTATCTAAACATTTGCCACGCCCTGCCACATCAGATTGAAAGCTATCCTTACTCGTGTGGGAACATCTTTTCTCCACGGTCGGCAAGGCTTATGCGAGGCACTGTAAGCCTATTTTTTTTCTTTTTTTTTTCTTATATTTTTGAGAAAGAATTCCTCAAAAAAAGAAAAAAAGGGAAAAAATGTTTTCTAGAAGGAAGTAGAACTACTTTTTACTCTCTTTGTCTCTTAATAGATTTAAAATTTTTTTCATCCCTTGATAACTTTTGTTTACTTATTATTTTTATTGAATATTTAATTAAAAAAAATTGTCACATCTTTTTTTTGTAGAACTTTTGATGTAATTTTTAAATTTATACTCCCTCCGTCCACACATAAAGTTCCCATTGCGCGTACGATGTTTGACTAAAATTATTTTCAAATCATTTTATATAAAAAATGGTATGGAATTAAAAAATAAAAAGTACATATTTAAAAACTACATAAAAAATCTACAAAACTAGAGGTGACATCACTATATTATTTTATCAAATAAGACACAAGAATAGGCCTGAATAAAGTTTGACCCTGTGAATAGTGAACATGAACTTTATTGTTGGGCGGAGGATGTAAGTTTTATTTTTAATTCTTATACCAATTTTTAAATAAAATGATTTTTAAAAACAAAGAGTTTTGCATCGAAATTCTAAAATAATAATCTAATTTGAGATGAATGAATAAATAAAAATATGGAGTAGATAACAAAAACATTTTTAATAATTAAAATATAAAAAAATTATTTATTTCAGTAAATAGAAATATTTTCATGATAAAAATATATAAGTAAAATTATTTTTAATAATTCAAATATGGAAAAAATATTTAAAAAAGTGATGAAACAATGACTTGCCACTGCAAGGCATGCCACTCCACTCACGTGTCACTCGTTGACTAGACTGTGTTTTATTGGTTGACATGCTCCACGTCAGCGTGTGACATTCCATTTCTGTCTCACCATTGTTCATGCTCTTAGAAAGGGTACAGTTATGCCTAGCTTATGGGTGATGGAGCTGAACCTTCATGGATACCTCGGGTCTGAAACAAAACCCACATTTCTAAGGGTCTGTTTGGATGTTAGAGATTAGCGTTAGCATTTTAGATAAAATTTTAACGGTGCCGATTATTTTGAAAACGCTAATGCTACACGCTGCCCGTAGATAGCATTTTTAAAACGCCAACGCTAATCACTAACGTTATTCCCAAATAGGCCCTAAACACCAAATTCTCATATGGATTATCAACAAAAAGAAACTCATGACCAAGAATAAACTCAGCACATTCATGAACATCCAGGACTGGACTGTTGTGGGCTATGTGATGGCAATGGAGAAACAATGGATCACTTGTTGTGGAATTGCACCAGGGGAAGAGAGATCTCGATGATACCAATATGATACTATGCTAAATAAAGAAAATAGATCTCGATGACTAAATAATAGGGGTGTTCAATCGGATCGATCCGATCCGATCCGAAAATTCGGATATCCGAAAATTTCGAATCATGCAAAACTCATTCCATATCCGATCCGAAAATATTCGGATATCCGATTTTTCGGATCGGATCACTGGATTATCCGAAAAGTTGAGTTTTTAGCCAAAATTTACAAAAAAAAAGGGTAAAATAGCAAAATCAACCCAAAATATCAAATTCAATATAGATTTACTAAAAGAAAAATTCCACCACTTGGTAATGGCCTAATAAAAAAATGATACCAAATTTAATTTGGGAGTAACTTTGGTAATTTTGCCTAAACAAGCAAAAAAAACACTATTAAAACAAAAAATTCTAAAATGCTAATGCAAAAAGTCCAAAATGGGTAATTTCCAAAATCAACATAAAATACATTTAAACATATAGTCATAATATATATCCATAAAATTCCAAAAACATATAGCAAAAAAAAATCGGATATCCGATTATCCAAAAATATCCAGAAATTGAATCCATATCCGATCCGATTTTTTTTGGGTATCCGATCCGAAATATCCGCAAGCTAAAATATCAGATCAGATATCCATTTTTCGGATCGGATCGGCCCGGATCATGGACGGATATTTCGGATCGGATATTTTTGAACACCCCTACTAAATAATACGGAGTACAACATTCGCCCCTAAATAGGGTTGTAGTTACCATTCACAAGCCTATTTAAAGGAATCATTCAAAATAGGAGTAAAACATAGAGAGAGCATGATTGGGAACACTGTGAGCTAACACTGTGACAATGGGGCTTTGATTAAACTCATGTTATCATCACCTGATCTGATTGGGAAAAAATTCTAATCTGATCTAATTTGGTCCAATTTGATCTGACCTGAATCTAGTTATATTTAAAGTTATTTCTGATATGAACTAACTTCAATATGAAAAAGTAATAAATAATAAAATTAAGTTGAACAAAACTTCACCTAAATGTAATAATTCTTGTAAAGGGATAGCAATACAATTACTATGAGTTAATAAAATACTACATCCGTCCCTAAAAATCCTTCTTCTTTCTTTTTTCATCCGTCCTAAAAAACTTTTTTCGTTTCTATTAAAAAGTTACTTTTAACCTACATATTACAACACATCTATTCACTATTAATCTACATATCAAATTCTATTTTTTACCTATCACATCCAAAAACATTTTTAGAAACTCAATCAAAATATATTTTCCTTAAATATTTTAAAAATTAAAATATTTAATGTTTTCAGAGATGGAGGAACTATATGTTAGAAGATACACATTTTACATATACACAATACTTAAAACTACAATGACCCATAATACAACTGAACTTTTGTATGGTCTTCTATAAACTAATTGGGCCGAATGGGCGTGCAATGCAAACTTGTTTCACTTTCACAGCCCAAAACCCTAAGGGGGCGTTTGGTTCGAAGGGAAACCATTTCCTTATTCTAACCCTTCTACCCCCTTCCCCAACCCTTCTATTTTCCAAGTCGCTGCTCCGTTTCTTCCTCGCCGCCACACACCTTCTCGCCGCTGCAACTCCATCCGCCGCAGCCCAGGTATGTTCTCCCCCTTCCTCCCCCCTCCCTCCAGCTCCTATTCCCCCCCTGCGATTCCCCCCTCACATTGCGTTTCAAAATTTTTTACAGATTTTTTAAAATTCAATTGAAACCCCTCAAGTTTTTNNGCGATTCCCCCCTCACACTGCCTTTCAAAATTTTTCACAAGTTTTTTTTACAAATTTTTAGAATTCAATTGAAACCCCTCAAGTTTTATTTTTCAAGTTCCAACCCTAGCTCTCTCAATCCTTTAAATTTACGGAAGTAATGAGAAATAAATTTATTTTTTTGACAATATGGGCATACATAAGCTTAGGATTCAATTTAATTTGTTGATGGGGTTGACGTCCGATATGATGATGATGATCCTCCTCAAATTTGCTTCCAAAAAAAGTTGATGCAAAAAAAAGTCCCCTAGCCCCACTTTTACCCAAACAGCCCCAATATTATATTTAAATTGCCTAATTGTATTGATGCTTGTATTGGTGTCTTTATTTTGGACGATATTGTCTTGTTCATGACAAATGTTTTTTTACCTTGTATTGTTGGCATTGTTGTGTTTTTGAAGTTTTAGACAAGTAATGCTTTTTGAAATGAACCTATCATCTTGACAGTATGTTGTGATGTGTGAATTTTGTTTAATTGTATGTTTGAAAAAATAAATAAGTATTATTTTTAACAAATTAATCATAGCTGTGTAAAAAAATTGATTCCCCGTTTTGAACCAAACACGAATAAAGGGAATTCTATTCCCTTTCCTGTACTGGACCAAACAGACTCATCATTCCCTTCCCCCCTGATTCCCTTTCCTGTTTCCTTTCCCTTTCCTCAGCATGAACCAAACGCCCCCTAAATTCATCCCTGCCACCAGATCTCCTCTTCGTGATCGCTCGGTTTTCCTGGGTTTTCTATAATTTAGCTCTTTAATTGATTTAGTACAGATAGATATGGCGACAACGGCGGAAGAAGATCAGCCTCTGAACTACATAGACGAGGTTGTCCTGAAGAAGAGGAGGAACAATGAGGAGTGGGCAATACGAAGGAAGCTTCAACTCGAGCAGAAACTTAGGAAGCTCAAGTCTGATAGCTTCATCATCAAGAAGCCCGAACAGTTCGTCAGGGATTACCGCAATAGGGTAATGTGCTTGATCTTAGATAGCGTATTTTCATTTTATTAGTGGCTTTTTACTATGTGTTTAGCAAAATTTGGCTTTCATTGTTCATGTATTGGCACTTCATTATAATGGTGTATGATGAATGATTAATTGATTATATATTGGTTAAGTATTGTCAAACTGTGTTTAAAAAAATTTACTCTGCTATAATTTAAGTTCAACTGTTTGTTTTTGTATAAAGAGAATTCAATTCTCATATTTTCATTCAGAAGTGTAGTATATTCATAAAGGAGACATAGAATCAAGAGCCGTAGCTATTGATTTGCTGATTTTTCAATTAGACCTGAACTTGAATGTTGAATAAGAAGAACAAGATGAAGAGTTAAACTGAATTACATAAAATAACAAGAGTCCATCACAGACCTAGTTCTAAATCTAGATGAGAGCTTGCACATTTGTTACTCCGTGAAGGAGAAGTAAAAAAGTCAAAGAAACCAAAGATCTTATTCTTGTTTGGTTAGTAGAGAAAATAATGAAGCAATTACTTTAGCAACTCCTTTGTTTGGTTGTTCTACAGAAAACAAAGGAAAGGCATTTTTGAAAATGGGTAGATGGTGGGTGTGGGGGGGGGGGAGTGGGGAAGGGATGAGTTTTGTGTTTTCTCTTCTTTTCCTCACAAAATGGTGGGAAATCACATTTTCACTCTTACGTTATATTTTCTTGACTTAACTTTTCTCCCAAATTTCTTCTCTTTATCTTTCTAACCAAATGCCAAAAATGTTTTTCATTACTATTGTCTTTTCTCTGCCCTTCCAAAATCAAACAGAGTGTTTGGATAAAATTTCCCACTTTCCGGTTCCATCTTTCCTCTCCATCATTCTCATCCCCTCTTTTACCTAATCTCCCTCAAAGTTTTGGGCCCGACTTTTAAGAACAGAAAAAGCTACCAGCTGGTCGAAAACTTGGGTAACATGAGTTTTTTGGACTATTTGTCATTTGGTAAACCCATTCTCATCTGCTAGAATTTTCCCTCTATTTCTTCTTCTGTCATTCAACCATTATTCCATTCTTACTTTCAAAATTAAGTAAACAAATTCTTCATGCATCCAATTCTATTGTTTTCTTCCCTCGGGTTGATGTGAACAAGCACTTCTCCTTAGCTTTTTTTTGGTGATTACACTTGGTTCTCAGAAAGTGTGTTCAATGGGATATGCCCATTTCATCTTTTGCGAACACTTGCTTCTAGTTTTCTCTATTAAATCCTGCAGTACATGCTCTGTGTAAAATGTAATCAGTCCTTAAACAGATTTTTCTTGTAAGCTATGTGCAGTGCTCTAAATATCAATTTAGGCAGTGCCTAGATTCTGAATGAAATGTGTGGATCTAGATTTTGCCTGAATATGCTAAATAAGGTGGCCCAGTGCCTAGGAAGGCTGGATTGTAATTGTTTTATTCACACCATTTAAATTGAAAAAATAGTCAATAATTATGTACTCGTATTTATGTAAATTACATGAACATAGGGAATGTGGCATGCTTATTCTTTTTTTGTAGAGCCCATTTCAAGGTGGCCCAGGCCTCTCTACTTTCTAAGTATTTACATTACATGAAATTAGTATTTACATTACATGAAATACATAGTTAAAATCATGTTAGATACTTAGATATTTAATTTTGAATTAAACTATATTAGAAAGATATTGAGCTCATTTCATGGTGGCCCTAGCCTGTCTGCTTTTGAAGTAGGGGTAAGTTGTACATACACTCACCCTCCCAACAAAGAGAACTAGTTGCTGATATTTGCTGTCTACTCCGTATTTTTTTTAACAGTATTCTTATTTGTTTCAGGAGCTTGACCTTGTACGAATGAAACACAGGAGTAAAAGACGAATATCAGTGCCCCGAACTCCCAAGCTACTTTTTGTCATACGTATTGGAGGGTGTGTTTAGCATCTCTATAATGCTTTTAGTTCTTAAAAAGGAGATTATTTTGATTGCTTATCTTTTCTTACTTTCCAAATCATATAGGAAAACTGATATGCATCCAAAAACACGGAAACTTTTATACTCGTTGAGGCTTAGGAGACTATTCAACGGGGTATTTCTAAAGACAGATGAAAGAACATTGGGAGTTTTGCAAAAGTTGGAGCCTTTTGTCACATATGGGTAAGATGAGTTGATTTCCACTTCTTATTGAGATCAGTGCGTGTTAGTTTTTTGTTGTTCTGATGGTTTGGAACTTTGGATCATGAGATTATCATTGGTGCCTGAAAGTATGAAAAGGGATTATTACTACAGTACTTTTATTCTTATTTATTGTTTTAAGGATAAATGTGAATGATTTTTTTAATGATAACTAATTGATTCATTGTCCATTGTAAGATACTATTGTTGCATAAAAAATTAAAAACAAATAAAGTTACAATGATCACAACCGTATAGAGCCTTTTGAGCATAATGCTAGTCATAACTAATCCAAGGTCTCCTAAATATTATTTTCATTATTAGTTCTATATGATAAAATGAAGAAAATTCAGTTCTATTGTTTCTTCTTTTACGAAGTGCATGCCTGTTTATGAATTAGAATGTCCAACAGGGGCTTTTTAATGTTATTACACTTTCTTTTTTCTTGGTGGAGACTGGTTTTAATGGGATATTCCATAGCATTCCTTTTTCTGCAATAATGATGCTTTCCCATGTATACCTTAACACCTCATTCATGATTGAAGATGTCCCAATCTCAAGAATGTGAAGGATCTTATCTACAAAAAAGGGATGGGAAAAGTTGATGAACAGAGAGTGCCATTGACAGACAATAACATCATCGAACGGGTAAATCAACAATGAAGTCCGTTGTGTTTTTTTTTGTGGTATTTGACCAGTTGTGGGTTTTATCTTTTCACAATAAACATAACGTGTTACTTTTATTTTCTTCCTGGCAGGCATTGGGTCAACACGGCATAATCTGTTTAGAAGACGTTGTCAATGAGATTGCCAATGTTGGTCCACACTTCAAGGAAGTAAGTAGATTTCTGTGCCCCTTCACTCTGAACAAGCCAGGAAAAGCCTTGCAGGGAAATAAAAAGCGATTCACAGACGGAGGAGACACTGGGAACCGAAAAGATCAGATCAATGACTTGATCAGTAAGATGAATTAGCATAAGCCGTGTCTTGTACTTTTGTTACTTGAGAATTGGTTGAAGTTAACTCTCTATTGCTGAAGAATTTTCTCCAGTTAACAGTTTTAAGATTTTTGTGAGGTTTATACATCCATTTTATAGTTTAAGCTTGTGGAACACCGTGCTTCGCGTTTCTTCCCCCACCCCCAACCATTGGATAAATTGTGTATTTCAAATTTGAGTTCTTTCGTGGTTTTAAGATCCATATGTAAAAACATAAATCCTTCACACTTTTCATGGGCTATCAAGTAGATCTTGTTTTTTAATTAACAAAAGGCTTGATTTGTTTATGATATTAATGTATTGAGGTCCAAAAAATGAATATATACTATAGTACCACATAACAAAGTTTGGCTTTGTAATAAGGAAGAGCGTGTAAGATTCTATATGTGACACCTTAATTTTGGCTAACTCTAGGTATGTTGAAGACATCATCTCAATCAATGCGGTTGTCCTAAGAGTATCGGAAATATCTGTAAAGCCCCGAGGTTTTAAACTTTCTTTCTATGTCACGTAAGTTTTAAATTATTTCACAGTTTCAGTGGAAATAAGTATGAAGTCTGGGGGCTTCAAATTGGGATTTAAATTTTCATTTTTACATTTTAAATATTCATCTTCTAAAATTAAATTAATAAAATTTAATTACTTCATTGAGTGAAACGAGAATAGTTGAATAAAAAATTACATTCATTAAAAAAAATTTGCATTCACTACATTCATTAAATAAAAAAATTACATTCATTAAATAAAAAAAATTTACATCCATAAAAAAAATTACACACTACGAACAAACTACAGATTACTTGAGTGACTAAAAATATATTCGATCAAATTCGTCGTTAGTGCATTGTGAATCTCCCGACTTCGTATTTTTTGACGGTTTCTTTGTTTCTTAGCGTTCAACACCCCAAGGCTCGTTCGATATCTTTTCTCGCCGCCTCATGAGTTTTTTGTAGGTCTCGTGTTTAAGACCCATTTGTTTGAAGAGGAACTTGACGATCGTGGAATAATCTTGATATATTCCATCAGCAAGATAATATCCACGTTTGTAAAGCGTTCTTCTAAGCTCACTCATTAACCCAATCGTCAAAAACAGGAGATTGATCAAGAACATTGATGTCGTTGTTCGATTCCGCAACATCGAAAAAAGCGTGCCAAAATCACAAGTCATTTGAAGCCACAATTTCGAGCATGATAGTAGGATTGAGGTAATCACCTGGAAGAACTTGCCATGTCACATAGTGGGACAATTTTTCTATTTCCAATGCGTGCAATCAATGCTCCCCAGCATGCTGACAAAACTGTGTTTAGCGGCATGCCTAGCCTGTAAGTGCTCAATGTCGCTTGTTGTCGGCTTACGTAAAAACCTTTATTTTATGATAAATTTGAATAATAACTTAAAAAATTTATACACACATGACTTGATGCTCCGAGCCGACAACTTTAAGTACTCGTCAAACATATCAGATGTCGTCTCGTACGCCACCTGAGAAGCGCAGCAGTGCACTTCTGGACGCTGCTAAACCCGCGTTGGTGTCTCGCATTAAAGCGTTGGGTGAACCAAAACACCTCGCGTTCAATTTCGGCGAGTATGCGTAAAAAAAGAGTGACTCATCCGAAAACGATTACTAAAATCCTTCGATGTATAAACACACAGAGTATTAAAGTAGTCGTTGAGTAGTGAAGCGTGTTTAGCCGCCCGATCACAAATTAAACGTTGACGTTGGGTCGGGCGCCGGAACGATTCCGATTCTTCTCGTTGGCCTTTGTTGCCACCATTGATAACAACCGTCGCGAAACAACGAAAAATGAAAGCTCTCTTTTCATCATCAGATGAAGATGATCTCATTTTTTTAGTATTTTGTAGAGAGAATTAAAATAAGTAGAATATCTCTTGGGTGAAAGATAGAAAGAATGTGAAATATTGTGTGCGTTTGTTGTGTTAAAATTTAGGGGTATTTATAGTATTGAAATTAACTTTTTTTTAAACAAATGCTCAGCGGTATATTTTTAGCCGTTAACCTTTCGCCAAACAGGGGCGGTGTTTGGTACGCTCCCGGCGTTAGACCCATTTCTTTTGCTCTTATACTTAGTTTGGTTCAAGGAATATGGAAGAAAAATAAAAAGAAAGTAGTTTGCTCTCATTTTTTTAACAAAATGAGAGGAATTTGATTTTTCTTTCTTAGTATATTTTGTCTCTTTATTTTTTTATTTCTATCCAAGAAAAACAAATTATATTTTATCTCATTTTTTTCTTTTTCAAATTTCTTGAACGAAATTTGTTAGTTGGATTTAGGTTTGCGTTAGTTTGATTTATCTAATTGATTTTGTTATGATTTTTTTAAAGTCTAGTCTGATTTAATCTGAATAGTTTTGATCTAATAGGATCTCATTGGATGTAAATTGATTGGATCCGATCTGATTTAAATGGATTTGATCGGATTCAAATTAAAGTTAAGATTATTACTTCTACTTTCATACTAATTTAAATTGTTTATTTCGACTTGCGATATATGACTAAAATTATATTCTATTAATTTAAATGACAATTAAGATGAAATTTAAAAACAAAATTTTCACATTTTAAATTACTACCCACATCAAAAAATTTATAAGACAAGCGGTAATATGATTATATTGTTTTTTCAATTGGGTAACAAAAATAGGTAAATTAGAAAATGAATAAAATTTGATCCTAAAAATAGTGAAAATGTAATAATTTTATTCTTTATAACATTATGATGATCATTCGTGTAATTGTTAATTAACTATTCTAGATTTAAAACATGTTCTTTAGGACTAGAAAAAAGAGCTAGATATTGGTAGAAATTGGAAAAAGTTGAAAGAAATTAGAAGAAACTGAAAAGAACTAGAAGATGTTAGACACTATAGTAATATTCCTAGTTATAGTAAAATTGTATTATAGTTAGTTACCATATTAGAAGAATCCTAATCCTAATTGTGTTAGGATCTCTAGCTATATATACTCACATGTATTCACCTCTATTGCTTAAGTAAAATCCATTAATTCATATTAATTCAACATGGTATCGGAGCATCACGATCCACCTCTCTGTCTCATGGGTTAACGCAAGCAGAAGGAAAAAAAAAAATCTTCACGCATAGGGTTTCTCAGCCGCAACACTTTTTTGTTCGGCAGCACCTTCCTGTCTCTCAGCCGCAGCACTATCTTCGGCGGCAGCACCTTCCTGTCTCTCAGCCGCAGCTCCTTCTTCAGCCCCAACATCTTCTTCGGCAGTCACCATGGCTCCCACAACAGCTGATCCGATGGATCACCTCCCCACTGGCCTCAAGCTATTCGTACGGAATCTCCAATCTCTTACTCCGGCGAAACTTGATGATTCAAACTATCCCTCTTGGTCAGCAACTATTCGCGCTAATCTTATGGCTCATCGTCTTCTCGGTTACGTGGATGGAACGGAACCGGCACCTCCCTCTCTTCTCCTTGACGAAAAAGCTGCTACCTCCGGCAAGGAAGATCCACCCGTCATGAAGGCAAATCCAGCCTATGAGACGTGGCTGATTGT